GGATGATAGCAGATAAGGAGTCCTTGGGAGGGGGGCGAAAGAGGGGGCAGGGCCAGAGGGCCTTCTCCTGTCTGCTGTCCATCAGCGTCCAACCCTGCCTCCAAGAAGGGGCGCCCCCATAGAGCCCAGAGGTCAGCCAGAGGGGGAAGGCACAAGAGCATGGGGGTTGGGGGTACAAGCACCCCCCTCTGAAGCCCAGAGGGCAGGGAAAAATGGTGGATTATAAAAGCCAAGAAACTACAAAACTAAATACAAAGGTGGGCACAGCTGGCAAAGGGAGCGGGCATGGGGAAGAAAGGAGAGGTCCAGTCCAGGCCAACTGTCCCTCAGGGGCCTGAGGCCACGCCAGGCTCTCAGACCTTGTAGTAGATGTTCGCTGGGCTCTGGGGTGGCATCTCCTGGACGATGTAGACGGGATGCCCGTAGTCCCCACTCACCTTCTCGTAGTGGGGGCAGTAGTTGTTCTCTGTAGTCCGTAAGGGGATGATGATGTCGCTGGGCTCGGTGCCAGCTGTGCCACTACCCCCTTTGGGACTGGCCAGGGTACTGAGTGAGAGGGCAGCTGCCCGCTGCTGTGTATGCTTGCGGTGCCGCTTACGCAGCTTTAGTAGTAGAACCGTCAGGAAGATGATGATAAGCAAGAAGATGACACAGCCGGCACCAACAGCCGCAAACAATGCCACCTTAGAGTTGAAGAAGCTGTCAGGGTCCCCGCTGCCTCCCCCACTTGCACCCAGGCCACTCTTCTCTTCTTGGTTCACAGTCTCTGTAGAAGGGGATGAGAAGGGAGGAATGGTCAGATAGGGGTCCTAGGGACACATGGCAAATCTTGGGCTGGGCCCAGACTGAGTTTCTTCAGAGATAGGGCCTGAGAGGGTGGTTGGGTAATGGATTCCACCCTTTGGTGGAAGTATAGCCATGATTGCCATGACTGCTACACACTTACCATGTTTGCCATCAGAGTCACCCAGGGATCCCCGACCACCAGGGACCTGTGTGGCCATCTTGACAGTGTTGTCTGCCTCCTTGCTAGGCTGGCTGGTGGTCAGCTGCTCGGGTGTCACTGCATTGGGATCTGAGGCAGGGAGAGGACAGATAAAGGGAGAGGACAGATAAAGGGAGAGAACCCCATCAGGCATAGGTGCTCTCTAGCATCTTGGGTGGGCCCTGGATAGCACACCACAGGCCACAGGGATGTAAACCCTACTGCTCCTTCTCCCCCTGCTGCCAAAATACCCACATCCAGTCAGGAACATTTTTTCCAAAGGCCTAACTGGGGGTCCTCAGACTGGGCACTCACCTTGCCCAACTTTCATGATGATCTTCATGGTTCTTGTACGGCACACACCTCCCTCCCGGTTCTCTAGCCCCTCCAGGCTCCCATTGGATGTTGCTGCAGGAAGAGGCCAGAGAAGTCAGAAAAGTTAGGAGAGAAAGGACTGCCATCATAACCTAGAAATTCCAATGCTGTCTCAGTCAGCAGAGGTAGAGCTGGGATTCAGCAATGGCAAGCAGCTCCCTCCTACCTGTGACCCTTTCTACTTCCCTCCCTCCCTCCCTCCCTCCCTCCCATGAGGAACACGGCAGCCCAGCCTGGCCTAGCCCAGGCCAAGAACTAGCCCACACTAGGGATATTGCTCTTCTATGATGATCAGGCCTTGGCCCCTCTTTTCTCAGTGGTAGCATAAGGGAGATTAGCACTGGCAGCATGAATGATACTACATAGTCTAGAAAGAATTCTAAATTCAGGGTCAGGAGAACTAAATTAGAGTCCCTACACTATCCCTAATTCCCTGTGTGATCTAAGATAAGAACCTCCTTTATCTCTTGGAGCTTCAGTTTCTCATGGGGACAAAAAAAGGTGAACAGTTGGCTGATCCCAAATAGTTCTACCAACTTTGCCAACCCCTAGGTTAGATCTTAGGTAGGCAAAGAGAGAATGCAACATAAACTGGAGACTTCTCCTACCCAACCCCTGGAGCCAAGGCAAGCTGGTGGCAGACTGCTTGATAAATGTTGGGGTCAGAATCCCAAGGCCTGGCTGGGAAGAGAGCATGCTGATCTTCAAAGGGGGTCTGATCAGGCCAGGCCTTAACTGTGTGAAGTTCCTACTGCTAGGGGACAGGAAAGAGTTAAGCCCAGGGAGAGAGCCACACGATGGGCGGGGACTCACAGGTAATATAGTAATCGTGGTGCTTCTTGAACTCCAGGCCCATGTAGTTGGGGCTGAACTCCTGGAACTTGATGGTGAAGCGTATTTCCTGCTCTGGCCTGTTGCAGTTGACCAGCACATTGGGGTCAAGCACCGTACTGCAGGCAGCTGCCTGCTCAGGCCGCACCAGGTACAGCTTGTAGTACTCATAGGGCCGCCCTGCTTCTGCTCGGGGGCAGATGATGTCCAGCTTGTCTCCAATCTTTGGGTAGATCACCAAGCCCTTCCCACTCAGGAACCTGCCCAGAAGGGAGAAAATGGTCAGCCTTAGGGCTGGGGGGGGGGCCCAGGTCATCTCAGAACCAGAGGAGTGGACAATGAGGACCTAGCTGGGTCTATTCGGTAGAGATGGAAAAAGGAGGCCTCTGCCCTTCCTCCATTCTCAGATTGAAGGTGGGGAGAGAGAACCACATTGTGATCAGGGTGTGGAATGGGTGGCCCATGGGCAAGGCTGCCAGGCTTTGACTGCTCGTCAGGATGGGGCACTGCCTGGCTGGGGGAGCCCTTTGTCCTAATGTGGCATTTCCACAGGGGGCTGACATGGCCAATGGGCTTGGTACCAACCTGTCAGACCTAGGATGCCTGGAGGTGGCAGTCCTGTCTCCCTGACCCCAACACACTCACATTTCTTCATGACCACTGCTACTTCCTCCCCTAAACACACAGCATACACAAGCCTAAGTGTGGACAAGTTTGCACACATCTTAGTCACTAGTCCCAACATTCCCAGCTAAGGACTGAGGAATTCAATCTGTCTAGAACCCATATTTCCTCCTTTTCCTTGCTAATCTTGGGCATTATGGGGAGAGAGGAACAGGCATTGCCTAGAGCCAAAGGATAATAGCTGCAGTCTCTGGCCAGATGCAGCTCCACACAGCTCTCCACTCCCATTACCTAGTGGCCTACTGGTAACCCATCCCACTCTTGTAATGCAAGAGCCTGAACCTCTGAATGTGACCAGTCTCACTCCTAAGAAGAACAGAGAGAGGGGGAAAGGGGCCCAACCAGGGGCACCATGTCATGTTAGATAGGGCAACAGGGAGCCCAGCCTCAGTGGTGCAGTCAGTGGTGCTGGAAGCCACATGGGTGACCATGAGTTCAGCTCCCTAGTTGATCTGAAAACATGCTGGGTGCACATGTGCCTAAGATCTTGATGAATTGAAGGACTAGGAGAATGAGACTCCAGTGTAACAAGACCCTGTTAAGGGTACTTCTTTCTTGTTCTCATTCTCTCTTACATGTTCACACAAATGCTTGCTCATGAATAATACTTTTAAATATAGGGCCCTGGGAACTCTACTCATATGTATTCAAATCCCTCACTTCCACATTGTTCCTACTCCAGATCCTAAGAGAAGACAGAGAGGTCAGCAGTTGGTGTAATGGCTATGTCACTGGACTCCCATGTAGTCAACTGCGGTTTGAGTCCTGGACCTGGTGGCTTAAACTCACACCGGGTCTGTGTGTGTGTGCCCAAGATCCTGAGAGGAGAAGGGATTGTGGTGTGGCCATATTCCCTGGGGGGTGATTTCTCACTTTCTGTCTCTTGTCTTTCTGGTGCCCTATAGCAAAAAACCATTCAAAAAGAGAGAGAGAGGGAGAGGGAGAGAGAGAGAGAGAGAGAAGACAGACAAATGCGTCTTCAGCTGGTCCATGCTCTAATCCAGAAGGCTAGGCACTGGGGGAGAACAGGGTAGGCCAGGTACCCAGGTCCACCTATTCATATGACCCAGTCCTCGCCTAAGACATAGTAAGAATGTGGTACTCTGTTGACCATTTCTGAGCCTGAGCAGACTGGAGCTGAGAGTATCTAGGAGAAAGAACACAGACTCTGGAATCAGATTCCAAACTGAGGCCCTTACCAGCCCTGCAACCTTGGATGATCTGCCTGATCTCTCTGGGGATGGTAAGAGCTCCTACCTCCCAGGGTTGTGGAGGAGAAATGAGGTAGCACATGGAGAGTACTTAGCACATCGTAAGCACTCAACATGTTTGAGTTTTCTCTTAGAGCATTCCAAGAAGAGGAGGTCAGTCCTAAGACTAAGTATCTATGAGCCCAGTTTTGTTTCTTGGAGAGGAAGTCGGAAGAGAAGATACAGTCCATCATCAAACACTTTTCCTGTCTGATTTGGGTCAGAGAAATGAATGGCCCACATTCCAGCCAGAGACCACATCAGGGTATCTGTAGGTTATGTGTAAGGATGGTTGTTCAGACAGCAAGGGCTAGAGGCAATGAGAGGAAGAAGACAGCCCATGTGAAAAGGATGGTCAGAGATGGCTTCACAGAAAGAGAGGAAGAAAGTGGGTCCTGGGTAAGAAATAAGTCAACACAGGACCAGGAGATGGTGGAATGGTTACGTTGCTGGACTCCTACATAGTTTACTGCAGAACTGGTGACTTAAAACTGGAGTCCCAGACCTGGAAACTTAAAACTCATTCTGGGCATGTGTGTGTGCACGTGCCCAAAATCCCGAGAGGAAAATGGAGAAGGGATTGCGGCATGGCCATTCTCCCTACTCCCCGCTTTCTGTCTCTCTGTCTCTCAGTGTCTCTCCGGCAAGTCCATATGCCCTATAGCAAAAATATCTCTCTCTAAAAAAAAAAAAAGAAAGAAAGAAAAGAAAACAAAATATGTCAACACCCAGCAAAAGTAGACAGCAGTGGCTGGGACACAAAATGCAGGCCAGTGATCAATGCAGCTTAGCTTGGGAGTAGGTAGAGAAGAATAGAAGAAGTAGAGAAGAAGATAGGACTAGATCAAAAGTCCTGGAGGGCCATAATAAGCAGTGTACATTTCATCCTATTGATGACAGACCTGTAGCAGGAAGGACTGAGGTGGTTCTTAAAGAAAACGAAGTGGACCATGCCCTGCAGCTGCACCAGTAAAGAATGCCAGTTATAGGCTATTCCAATCATCTGGGAAGAGAGTAGTTCTATTTCCTAAGGGCCCATCATGTGGTGGGGATAATAAGCAGGAAGGGCCTACTGGGAGCTCTAGGTAAATGCCTTCACATGGCAAAACCCATGTTCTCATCCAAGGGAGGGAGGTGATACCCAAGTAGGTGAGTAGGGGAACTAGTAGAGTAGGTGAAGTAAATGAAGAAAAACAGCATTCCCTCCATGTCAAGTGAGGCTCTACCAAGCCAAGAGCTTACATCTTGATGCACAGGAAGGTAAAAGCCAGAACAAGATGGTTCCCCCAGTGGTACCTAACTTGACTGCTCTATGGATACCACAAAGGGAACAGGCATAGAATGGAGGCCCATATAAACATTTGAAAAGGAATTCCCCCACCTCATGCACCAACAAGTTACACCAAAGCCTCTATAATTCCCAAGGCATTTTTCACTTTCCAATGCTCACACCACTAATTTGGTCCAGATGGCAGGATTAGACAACTTCTAACATCTTAGAGCCAGAAAGAACCTTAGAGACCTACCAGGCCTCTCATGTTAGGGAATGAATGAACAAATGAATGGTCCCACCAAAGAGAGGTGCTCAAAGTCAACTCAAGCGGCCTAAAGCTACTCAGGGTAGTAACCTCTAGGGGTCTAACATTGGCTGAATCATTGTATGGTTGCACTTCGATAAGATGTACATATGAAGCTACATGTAAGGCATAGGAAGGAGGACAGGCCAGCTCACCTTCTGAACGTCTTGGCCCTGGCTTACTCATCAGGGCGCCTTGTCTACCCTGAGCACAGTCTCCCATTGTCACCCAGGCTCCAGAATGGGAATAGGGCTTTCACAGAGCTACTGGGAGTTCTAAATACCTTGAACCCAGAGACACTGAGGAAATAGATGTCTATATGGTGGGGGAGGGGGAAGAAGAGGGGACTATTGCCCCCAACACCCCTCAGACTCTTCAACCTCAGTGAAGAGACTTTATAAATATTCATTGGTTCATTTGCATAGCAGCTGGCAGAGGGGAAACTCATCTTCCTCCAAAGTGCAGGAGAGAGAGAAGCCTGATGAGACTGGCCTTTCCTGACCCTGATTTCCCACACTGGTGCCTTCTTAACTTCTTCCCCACCACAGGGCAAACTTCCTCTTGGACCATGAGAAGTCCAATAGAGCAGTGAGGGCCATGATGGATAGGGATGTAGCCAGTGAGAGTGAAGCCTGAAGCTAGATATAACAGTAGATGTACTTTACAGGGATCCCCTACAGGGCTCCCTTCTTATCAAGTCAGGCATAGGGATAGGAGTGGAGGAGGAGATTATCCCCAAGTTAAACTCTGTATCCTCTACCTTTCAAAAACTACATCCCCCAGCCCCACTATTGAGTCCAGCTTTCCTGCCTGGGGCCACCCCTAAACAAAGCCCTTTTCTGAAAAGTAAGGGGATTGACATGGCTCAGCAAGAAGCCTGAAGCAGGTCACCATGGTAACCCTTGTGGCCTCCTCTCCCTATGCTCTGATAGCTCTGGGACCCAGGGAGCCACCCCAGGGGGTAAACAGACTTGGGGAAGGTAGCCTGAGCTTTTCTAGCTCAGGCTGATGTCTGATGGCCTGACGTTTCCCCTCCACCCTACCCCAAGTCTTTCCTTAGCCTTTCTACCAGTTTAGAAGTGTAGCCATGACTGCTACAAAGAATCCTGGGAGATGAAAAGCCTAAAGGGTTTAGGGACAGCTTGGACTGGTCAGAAACCAACTGCCCTCCCACTGTCACCTGGTACATCTTTTATCCCAGTGGTCCCCCTTCTCCACCCATAGGCACACAATCTACAGGGGGCAAGGACCTTATAGCTAGCTGGGCAGGGCATACCCAGGAAGCTACCCATGTCCCACCAGGTACACACTTCCTTCCCTCCCACCTTCCAACTTGGGGTCAGAGTGGCCAAAGGGGAAATCTGGTGGGTCATATAAGTCCAAGTTTAATAGAAGACTCTTGCCATAGCCTTGATTTAGTGACTCCACCATCACCAGGACAGCACCCCCAGGGTGGCAAGACCAATGGAGGATGGACCCCAAGCTAGAGCTCATCAGCTCTCATCTTAGCTAGGGTGGGGAGCCCCCAAATTAAAAGGCTCCTCTTTCACTCCCCTAGCTCCACCCAGCCCCTGAGGCGGCAGGAACAGGCCTGGCGTGTCCCAGCAGTGACCGCCCAAGCGTGGGTGGGCAGGAACAGCAGCTGGGTCTTGGCACACATGCAGCTCTGTCGAAGGCAGGAAAGTCAGGAGAGTCCTAGAGGAAGTCACCCTCCCTACCTACACTGAACTATGCCCTTCCCACTGCCTCACCTGGCTAAAGCTAGCATCCATAGGGGATTTAATGACCCCCTCCCCCACCTTTGTCCCCACTGACTGCTTTCTGTGGAGTTCCTGAGGGGAAGAGATTCCCAGCCCACAGAGGAACCAAGGGTACTGCTCAGAACTCAGGGAGAGAGTGCCAGGCAGTGAGCTGGCTGCATCCAGTTCAAGTCACGCTCACAGGCTGCCTTCAGAGGTAGGCCCAGCAAACTCAGATGAGAAAGAGGGAAGATGGGCACTGTTCACACCACACAGGCAGGGCTTAAGTCATAATGACAGATGTAGCACAGGTGCAAGGTGAGAGGGGAATACAGGGGCAGAAAGCCAGTGCCTTTTTCCAAATGGTACCAGGAACTCTCATGTCTCTTAGATTCCAAGGCAGCAGGAGGGATGTGAAGAAGGGCTGGCACATACCACAGCTCTGCCCCCTTAGATCTTAGACAAGTCATTTCCCTGCTCTAGGGATAGGGCTCCTTATCTGGAAAATGAGGCTAGGGCTGTCGGGAGCTTCTGATGAGATCATACACAAGAATGAGACATAGGTAGTGAAGCCAGCTAGCATGCCAAACACAATATCCTTGAGAAGTAAAAAGCAGGAGTGCACGCTCTGGGCTGCTAGTGCCCTGACCCCAAATCGTCATCAAGAAAACACCCCCAGGAGGGGCTGTGATGGTCCACCAGGCAAGGAACTCAGATTGTGGCTGGTGAGCAGCACCCCCGCCCCCAAAAAACCCCTCAGCTCCTCTAACCATCACAGCACGGACCCTCCTCCAAACCTGGTGGTCCCATGGCAACCAGCAGCCTCCTGGCTGGCCCACTTTAGTAGCCATAATCCTAACCCCAGGAAACAGGGATATGCAGTAGGATCCATGGCTCACCATCCCCATTTACCTGAACTGATGAGGCAACAGAGAGCCTAAGAGAAGAAAGGGAACCCTGCCTCTCAGGCCCTCCTTGCTTGCTAGCTGCCCTTGGTAGAGGTGGGCAGGCAGGGGAACAGGGAACTTCAGGAGCTGCTGAATTCCCACAACTCTTAGGCCCCCACCTGTGACCAGTCAGCCACAGGGCAGAAGAGGTCTGTCTGAGCCACCCCAGAAAGGGGCCCCTGAGATGGCCTCCCCAGGACCATAAGCTGGAACAGCTGTGTGGGTCTGGGGCTAACACTTTGGCTTAGAGCAGGCAAGCATAGGTTGGGGTCTACAGCTGCCCCCACCCATGCTGGAGTCAAGGGGC